CTGGTTTCGAACTCCTGAGCTCAAACAATCCGCCCACCTCGGCCTCCCAGAGAGCTAGGATTACAGGCGTGAGCCACCGCGCCCGGCCGATAATTTCCCTTCTGATTTTTTCTTTGACTCACTGGTTGTTTAGGAGTATGTTGTTTAATTTCCACTGGCTCATTTACTCTAAATTCTAAGGATTCGGAGTCTCTTTTCCAGGGACAAAAGCCAATCAAAGTCTTTGTTATATAATACAACAATCACATAGATTAACCCTGAACATTGTTGGAAGAGACTGTAAAAGAGCATGAATACCAGGAGGTAACAATAACTGGGGGCTATTTTGGAGGCTAACTAGCACACACAGTCATTGACTCAATAAGCTGGCTAGCCTAAGTGCTACACTGAAAATTCCCTTTCCCTTTCCATCCTTCCAGTAAGTCAGATTTTCTAGTACAAAGTAACTTTGTATAATCAACAGTACCAGGCAAGGGACTTCAGAGACCCAGAAGTGCCTAGTGAGGCACCAACTTTACAGAGAGTTTATTTCGAAGTGTTGTGCATCAGAATGTATAGTTCTAGATTTCCTTACCTAAACCTAGAAACTGTCTATTTAAGTTTTTAACTCATTGGCCAATTGTATTTAAGAGCCCTGCTGTTCATTCACTTATTCAACAAATTTTCATAGAGTGCTTATCATGGGTCATGTGGTATTCTAGGCACTTAATGCTTCATCAGTGAACAAAACAGGCTCCTTCCCCGTAGATCTTACATTCTAGACTGGATATTAGGTTACTAAGTATGAAATGTCCAATTCCCTTAAGTAGTAAGTGACAATTGGTATCTCTGACATCTTTCTTAGACATTTCTTGTTTTATTTTTATTGGAAGGTATATCCTGACTCTTTCAAACACATGTTTTCGTTGTGATTATCTTTCAGATTTTTTTTAGAGCAATTTTTGTGAAACCATGGATAAGTTAAAAATTCATGTTATTTTCAAATAAGAGTTCTGTTGTGGAACAAATGCTGTGAGGACAACTCAAAATATCAACAAAGTGTTCAGGCAGGATGTGGCTAATGAATTCACAGCACATTGATGGTTTGAGAAGTTCCATTCTGGTGATTTTAATCTTGAAAATGAGCCACGTGGGCGTCCTGAGACCAAGGTGGATAATGAGCTGAAAGCTGTAGTGGAAGTGAATCCATCTCCACCTACTGATGAATTAGCAACAAGGTTTTAATGTTATTATTCCAACAGTATTGGACCATTTGAAACAAATTGGCACGGTAAAGAAGCTGGATAGATGGATTCCACATGAATCAGACAAGCATCAGAAGAGAAATTGTCTCGAAGCTTGCCTTTCTTTGCTGTCATGACATAAAGGCAAACCATTTCTACACCCATATTGTTATGTGTGATGAAAAATGGATTATTTTTGACAGTTGTAAGCATTCGGCACAATGGTTGGATAAAGATGAAGTGCCGAAACACAATCTAAAACTGAATATTCATCAAAAAAAGCTAATGGTGTCTGGTGGTCCAGTGCTGGTATTATCCACTACAGGTTCATGAAACCTGGTCAGTGGATTACATCAGATGTCTACTGCAATTAATTGGATGAAATGGTGAGGATGCTTGCGATTAAGCAGCTGAGATTGGTCAATAGAGATAGGCCAAGACATACATATCACACAAACAACACTGCTCAAACTACAGAGGCTGGACTTGGAAACTCATCCACCGTATTCACCAGACCTTGCACCAACTTACTACCACTCCTTCCAGGCTTTGGACTACTTCTTGTAAGGAAAAATATTCAATTCTCAACAAGCTATGGAAAACACCTTTTGAGATTTCATCGCCATCGCTCTCCTTGCTTCTTTGCTGCTGGCATAAACAAGCTACTGTTAAAGTGGCAAAACCATGTTTTAGGCCATCTGTGTCGATAGCTTAGGCACATACTTTGATTAATTTTACTGCTTCTTGTTTGAGATAGAATAAACTAAAGTTTTAATTGGAAATCGGACATTTCCTATTTAATGACCTAATAATAAATGAGAAATATAACATGTACCTTAAATAGTAGGTTAGATAGTATCATTAATAGCGGGGTAAAGGGCAATGGTGGAAGATTACAGGTAGGATAGCGGAAGGATATCATCTTATATAGGGGCCCCAGGTAGATGTCATTAAGGAAAGGACATTTGAGTAAAGACTTGTAGGAGAGGGAGTTAGCTATGCAGATACCTAGGGGGAAAGAGTCTTCCCAATATGGAAACAGCCAGTACAGAGAGTGTAAGGTAGGAGTATGTTTTACATTCCAGAAAGAGCAGGGAGTCCATTGTGGTTGGATTCCATGAAGGGAGGGGGAGATAGAGCTGAAATCAGAAGAGGTGAGTGAAGAGGTGCAGATCTTAAGAGGACTGAAAGGTCATGAACTTTGGCTTTTACACTAAGCTACCATTCATTCAACCATTCTCAAATGGGTCCTACTGTTTGTGATATACACATATACATACTTGTGTGTTCAGAGTGTACAAATTTGAATTGTCATTTCTAAGATATAAAATTAGGCAGTTTGAAGAGAATACAAGCTCATGGTTTTCTAGTATTATTGCCTAATATTAAGATATAAATTGTTTGGAGGACAAGGTTTATATATGACGATGGTGTGCATTTTTAGTAGTTGGTATTGCTGAAGTAATTCGTTTTTAAGAGTCGAGACAGTTTCCTTATTAACAATATTCTTTTTAAGGGCTTCTTTGGTGCTTATTTGGTTCATATAGAATTCTTTCAGTATATTTACTTCTGGAAAGAACTAGCTAGTATCTTCTTTGCCTCTCAACATCACTGTCATTTATTTTAGCATTAGAATTGAATTGCAGAACAGCCAAATGACTGGTGCAAGCTTTGAATTAGCCTGAGTGAGCTATATTGAAGCAGCCGTGCTGCCCTTAGGGTTCTAAAGGCTTATCTGTGCACCTTTACTTTTTCCTCTCACTTTCTGCTGCTTTTGCAACAAATTCATATTCTGTAGTTCTCTTCCTCCTGATTTGATTCTGAATTAATTTACATTTGTCTTTCCTAGGCTTTGAATCAGAATCCTGTCTTTAATCAGAAGAAGTTATTCAGGTTCAGTTTAGAGTTGAGGTATTTTTTTATGTATGTGACAGACTAAAAACTGTGGGCTAGGAAGACTAGTTAGCCAATCACTTGGCCATTTTTGTAAACTAAAATCATTTAAGCCTTTGTACACATCTGTGATTTAATTTTTTTAGGGACAGGGGTGTCTCAATATATTGCCCACGCTGGTCTCGAACTCCTGGCTTTAAGCAACCCTCCTGCTTCAGCCTCCCAGAGTTTGTGGGATTATAGATGTGAGCTACCATGTCCAGCCATTTTAACCACTTTCAAGTTTATAATTTGTTGACATTAAGTATATTCCACATTGTTGTGCAAACATTACTGCTATCTATTTCCAGAAATTTTTCATCATCCCAAACAGAAACTCAGTATTCATTAATCAGTAACTTTCCATCTTTGTTCCCACAATCCCTGGTAATCTCTATTCTATTGTCTGTCTATGAATTTGCCTCTTCTAGGTATATCAAGTTAGTGGAATTATATAATATTTGTCCTTTTGTTCTCACTTATTTTTGCAAATTTAACAGTTTTACATTTAGCAGCAATGAACTTGGTTTGGTTGTTTTTACATGCTTGCAGTTGGTGGTAATATATATTGTTTTACTTATGTTGATTTTTTTTTTTTTTTGAGACAGAGTCTCACTGTGTTGCCTGGGCTAGGGTGCCGTGGCGTCAGCCTAGTTCACAGCAACCTCAAACTCCTGGGCTCAGGTGATCCTTCTGCCTCAGCCTCCCAAGTAGCTAGGACTACAGGCATGCACCACCATGCCTGGCTAATTTTTTCTATATATATTTTTAGTTGTCCGATTACTTATGTTGATATTTTATAAAATTTTTATTCACTGGTGATAGTTGAAAGTAAGATAATGCATATGGTTTTGAGTATTACATAAATAGACATCTAATTTGGAGTACAGTGTTGCTTTTAAACACAAATGTTTTATATATAAAATGTAAGCATATAAATCTAGCTTTTTTGTATCCATGCTTATATGTATATTTTTTCCAGCTACTGCTGCTTTTCTGATGACAATACTGAATTGGTGTTATGGTTGGACATTTTATTTTAGACAATGTATAATCCAAAATATTCTTTTCTTGTTTTTAAATACTGTTTTTAAAAGTCAACTCATGCAGAAGTACCTGTTCTAATCTTTCCATTTTTAATTTATTTTATATTTCCAGGTATCTCTAAGTTGTCTCCTAGAGCGAGTAGTCCTGCTTCTTTTATCCAGCCACTTTATTCTTGAAATGTGGATATCTCTTCTCTACACAGTACCTCCATGATTTGGAATGGAAAAGACCAGGGTTTTTTTTTTGTTCCACCTCTCAGATTCAACACAGAGAAGCCCTTAAGATGCGGTTATCCTGCCTACTTCTCCAGGAAGAGAGAAGCAACTGACATGGGTCTTCTGCTGCTGTTTGCTTAATTATAAAGAATTATTTTACAAGCTGAAGGCTGATGTTTCATTTGAAACAGGTGCTTCGATGGTGGTATTTGTGAATTCTTTACTTTTTGTTCCAAATGAGAAGACTAAATAAATAGCAAGTATGGATGACTTCAGGGTTTTTTAAATGTCTTCCAGTTTCAGCCACTATCATGATAAGCACAGCTGAGACTGTAGCAGTGAATTCCAAATGTGCATTCTAATTTGAGATGAAAGATGCTAAAAAGTTACATATATATAACTTTATATTATATATCTAGATCCTAGCTCATCATACTGTTTCATGTATTTACAGAATAAGAACAAAGGTCCAGTTGTACAATTAAACCTTCGATGTGATAAAAGAAGCGTAAAGACAAGAAAGAAAGAAAAAAAACCA